CACAGCCTGATGACAGGTTACTGAAAGCAGCCATAAAAAGATAAAATTATTGCAGTCTAATGTGATTTATCCATTTTATGCTAAGTTTTATATATATATAAAGTGATCTGTTCTTTTTCATGACTTTGTCATCAGACAGCATAGTAGTAGGTGGCTAAATGATGAGTTATTTGTGAAGTTGGAATTTGACAAGAAGCAGGGCATTCTTTCTGTAAATAAATTTGCTTTCATATATTGAGCTCTCATGTTCAACTTTGTTTGTTTTTATTTATTTGGAGAGTTTTGTTTGTGTGTGTGTGTGTGTGTGTGTGAGTTATTTACTTATTTATTTATTTTGCTATAGGGTGTGTGAGCTTTGCCAGAAAGACAGAGAGAGACAGAAAGTGCGAAATCACACCCCCCAGGGGAGATGGCCATGCAGCAATCCCTTCTCCTCCATTCTCCTCTCAGGATCTTGGGCACGCATGCAGACAAACCTGGCATGAGCTTTTATTTTTCATTTTATTTTATTATTATTATTTTATATACTTTGGATCTGCTATACATCATTTGGCTTGCAAAGAGAATTTATCCAATATGAGATATACCTCAGACCAATCCAGCTGAGAATACTATGCACATTATCATCAACAGGTAATAAACCATGACGGTGTTCCACAAATAACTTGCCTCTATTTTTTCTCCCTAATTTCTTTCCCTGTACTCTTCCCCTCACCCACCATCCTTCCACACTGTCTTCAGTGTCCATAACTATTTTCAATGCTTTTATGTCCTCCAATCTTTCAGTCTCTACCATAGAGTGCAGACAGTCAGTATATATTAAGTGGATACACACAATATCTCTCTTTCATAGCCTGGCTTGCTTCATTCAGCAATAAATCTTCCAGATTTGACCACATTCTATCAAATGTCAGGGTCTTGTTGTTTTTATGGCTGAGTAGTACTCCATAGAGTTTATGTGCCACACTTTTTCAATACATTCATCTGTTCGTGGACATTTGGTTTGGTTCCATGTCTTAGCAATTGTAAATAATGCCACAATAATCATTGATGTGCAAGCGCTTTTCTGACTGAGCATTCTCCTGTCCTTTGGGTAAATACCCAGGACTGGAATTGCTGGATCATATGGTAGTGCTATTTGTAGGTGTTTGAGGAACATCCATATTGTTTTCCACAGTTGCTGGACCAATTTATATTCCCACTAACAGTGTGTCTGGAGTGAGTTTTAAGCCTCTGGGTCTGGGACTCGAACCGTGGTTGACTACCTGGGAGTCCAGTGATATAACCATTATACCATTGACTTGTCCTCCTGTTGGCATTTTAAAATGAATTGAATTGAATTGATAAATTAATTTGAGAAAAGGATAATTTTTCAGTGTTCGGTCTTCCTATCCATGAACTTGGTATATTCTTCCCATTAATTTAGCATTTTTTTTGTTGTTGTTGTTGTTGCTTAGACACTCTAGTCTCCAGTAATCTTGAATTAGCTTGAGAATTTTTTTTTCCAATCTTAATACTTTCTCATTCAATAAGAATTTTTTTGTTTTTTTCAAGACAGTATGTGTGTCTGCCAGAGCGAGACAGAGAGGGACAGGGAGAAAGCACAGCCCATGGGGCATGGTCACATGGCAATCACTTCTCTTCCATCTCTCCATCCTTTTGGAATCTTGGGCAAGTACATACATATGCCTGACATGTTCTTCAAGTCACGCAGCCAGCCATGTAAAATCTGAGTCCAGAACCACTAGGCCCATGGGGCTAGCCCTCAGTAGTGATTATGACTAGCTTCCTCTGCTACCTGGCAAATTATTACTTAGCCTTTAAGTCTCTGATCAAATTCCACCTCTTCTGTGGAGCCTTTCCCCATTGTTTTAGGCAGACTAGGGAGATGTCTTTCCTAAGGCCTCATCCATCCAGAGTATTTTGCATATAACTGCAAGAGCAAATATTTACTGATAGCTGGCTGTAAGCCAAAGCACTGGGTAATACACTCTTTGAGCGTTAACTTACATAATTTTCAAAACAATCTTTTGAAATCAAGTAAGCTCAGAGAAGGCAATTTGTCTAAGGCATACAGCCAGGATGAGGGAGCACCAACGATGTCAATCCAGGCAGCCTAGCTTCAGAGCCTGTACTCCACACTATATCCTGTTTAAAGCAGCTGTTTATCTACTGAATGGTTAACTCGAGCTCATTCATACATCTCAGAACAAACAGTGCACACCCTGAATCAGACCATAAAAGGTGCTGAATAAAACAGAAATTTTAAAAAGTCACACCATAATAATGTACTGTATATTTCAAAATAGCACAAAAAATGTTGTAAAGGGGAAAGGAATGGTATGGAAGTGAGAATTATGGTAGATACAAGAAGCTTCATGGGATAGGGTGGTACATGGAGGGGGATCGAAAGAAAATGTTTACCAGACACCAGAATGCACGTAAACAAGTGGAATAGGGTATAGCGTGACATGCCATAGGAGACACATAGAAAGGACATTCCATAAAAAGCATCATTGACAATTCGACACATACTTCCCAAACACAAAAAGACCAGTAGAGGGGCTGGCAGGTGGCGTGGTGGTTAAAGCACTGGACTCTCACATGGCTGACCACAGTTCAAGTCCTGGACCTGGTGGCTTGCTTTCACACTTTCCCTCTCCTTCTCTCTATCTCTAGTCAAATTTGTAAAAAAAATTAATAACATTGGTAAATAAAGTTAAATAAAATAATTCTTTAAAAAACCCAGCAGAAGGGACCAGCAGTTAGCGTAATGGCTGTCGCTGGACTCCCATGTAGTCAACTGTGGTTCGCATCCTGGACCCGGTGGCTTAAAAGTCATGCCGGGCGTGTGTGCGTGTGTGCCCAAGATCCTGAGAGGAGAACGGAGGAGAAGGGATTGCGGCGTGGACATCCCCTCTGGGGGGTGATTTCTCACTTTCTGTCTCTCTGTCTCTCTCTGTCTGTCTGGTGAGCACACACGCCCTATAGCAAAAACCTCTCCAAAAACAAAACAAAACAAAACAAAACAAAACAAGAACAGTAGAGGGACCAGCAGTTGGTGTAATGGCTATGTTGCTGGACTCCCATGTACTGACAGCGGTTCGAGTCCCAGACCCAGTGGCTTAAACTCATGCTGGATGTGTGTGCATGCGTGTATAATATCCCAAGACGAGAATGGAGGAGAAGAGATTGCAGCGTGGCCATCTCCTGTGGGAGATGATTTCTAGCTTTCTGTCTCTCTGACTTTGTCTCTCTGGTGAGCGCACGCACCCTATAGCAAAAACCTCTCCAAACAAGCAAAAAAAACAAAAAGTCCAAACAAGCAAAAAAAAAAAAAAAAACCCACAGTAGAACTATTATTGAATGTGTAAATAATATAATGTTCAATGCCAAAGAAGATGCATATATCTATATCCTTGACTTAATTATCGCACACTGCAGCATACTATGAGAAGCCATCCTGTACCCCCCCAAAGGTGGGCAACGAGGATATGGAAGCCAGAAGTCACACACACAAGACAGTATGCTCACCACAAAGAAATGATAGTTAATAGTAGTCATGGATATGCTAATTGGACTAATTTGATCATTCCACAAAGTATACATGTATGGAAATGTCACACTGCACTCCATAAATATATACAACTATTATTTGTCAATTAAAAATAAAAATGAGTAAAAACCCAAAACACAAAAATCACATTGATAAATATTAATGTATGGGTAAAAATTGTGCTAACTGCCCTGGGAGAAGGAGGGAGGGAGGAACTCAGGCTCACAGGAATGGCACTTGCAAAGGGGTAGGACACAGCAGGGCACCTGCAGGAAGGGATGGGGGACTGTATCTTTGGGTTCAGGTCTCAGGAAGACCTGGTGATTCAGGATGTGTTGGATTTTAGGGACTGAGGCATATCCAGGGTGCAAAAGGTTGGAAATGTGGAGGTTTGAGACTCCCGCATCATCGCAGGGGATGGTAATCACGGAGGAGCAGGCTGGATATGACTCCCCAAAAGAAAGCTGCAGAATTAGAAGGGAGGAAAGTCATAGAGCTGGTGGTGTCTTTGCATCCCGTGTCACCAGCGCCCAGACCAGGACTTAGCAGAGAGTAGCAGATAGATGCTCAGAACACGTGTGCTGGCTGGTGGGCTGAATGAATGAACGACGCTGTCGGCGCAGCCCGGGTGGCGTTCCTTCCTCTTTAGGCTCCCTTCTGTTTGTAAAATAGCAGTAGCGACTTGGGACGGGTAAGCACCAGAGCTGCGGGGGGTCAGTCCGATCTGGCTAAGCGGTTCACGAATTGCCACGCTGAGCGTCCTCAGGCTATGCCGCTGTCCGCTGGAGGGCGAAAGCCGCACGGATTGCGGGAGGTGGCCTTGCCTCCGTCGGCGATCAGTCGCGGGAGAGCGCCCGGGGTGCGCTGAGTGGGAGAGGGCCCGAAGAGGCGGAGGGATCCTGTGCCTAAGAGAATGGAAACGAAGGCGGGCAGCCGGCGGAGATTAGGGAAAGGGAGCCCAAGTTGCAGAGGGCGAGGGCCGCGGGAGAGATTGCAGAGAGAGATCTGAGAGGCCCAGAGGACAGCGGAGAGGTTCATCTGGGACCCCCTCACTCCAGAGCCCAGGAAAGAGCAGGTGCGGTTGAGGGAGGGACCCGCACGCTAAAGCTGGCAGAATAAATGACAAATACGCTCCACTTGGCAACCCCCAGGCGTGTCTCTGTCCAGGGCGGCGCTGGAGCGTCTTGGGGAGTCGCAAGGTGTCAGGGCCCAGGCTGTCCCCTGGAGGGCTGGTTCGAAGCGATGGAGCCCGCAGACGCCTCCCGCCGCCGCGGGGTGGCAGAGTTGGGGGCAGGCGCTCCCCACCTACCCCGAGGGGTAGCCCCGCCCCTGGGCCGCGAGGAGGCCCCACCGCTGGGGGGCGGAGTTGTCGCCGCCCCCTGCCATCCCAGGAAACTGCGGCCCCTTCTTAAGCCCGCGCAGCCTCTAGCTGCCCTTCACTCGCCTCTCCCGCCAGTCTCCCTCCCACGCGATGGCCTCGGCGCTCAGCTATGTCTCCAAGTTCAAGTCCTTCGTGATCTTGTTCGTCACCCCGCTCTTGCTGCTGCCACTCATCATTCTGATGCCCGCCAAGGTCAGTTGCGTCTCCAGGCAGTCCCGGGACCCCCGGCGCCCGGTGCCCAGTAACCGGCACCGAACTCTGGAGCCCTGAGCTGGAACGCACAGATTCCCAGCTCCCCTGCGACGCGCGCACTCGGGAGCTCGAGATGCAAAATGGGAGGTATCTTGCAAAGAATCTCGAGGGGCACAGAGACGCCGGGACGCACCGATCTTGGGGTTCACATATCCTAAGGCGCAAGAACCGTCCTGGCAAGCACAGAGACTTAGAAGTGAGCACAGAGCTTAGCCACACAGACCCCAGCCATAGGCTCAGCCCCCAGCTCGAAAAGCTCCCCAGAGTGCATAAGTTTGTCCCTCTCCCCCAAATGCCACCCGCGCCTGGGCGCTTGCTATTTGCTCTCTCTTTCCTGAGCAACGGAGACTTCCAGCCGTAGGCCGTTCTCATCTGTACAATGGGCGACACGCCTTTCTGATGTCAGAGACCTACAGGAAAAGATCACCTACATGGATTCCTATTGTTGTCTTTGCTATTTTCTGGCCCTTCTTTGGGCCTCAGTTTCCCTATTGCTGAACATTTCTTCCAACTCTGAAACCCAGGAAGCGCCACATCTGAGTCCAAATCCTGATCCAGGCTGAATGGCAAGTCAGGGTTGGTCTGCTTTGCCATCTGTTCCCCTTCCTAACACCCCCACCCCCACCCCCCGCCGCTGCGTCCTGCTGTGGCTATGGCAGGAGGCGAGACACGTTCCCAGAGCTCACGCCTTGGGTGGCACGACCTCATGCTGCAAGGAAGCTGTGTCCCATGCCCTGGCCTCCTCGTGCTCCTGGGAGGGAGGGAGGGGATGAATGGCCTTGGCTGCAGAGTGGGGGCGGGGTCGGCGCCCTGGCCGCAGCTCCGCTGGCTGGGCTGTGCTGGGCTGTGCTGGGCTGTGCGCAGCCCGTTTGGCAGAGGCCCGAGCCCTTTGAAGCCTTTTGTGGCTCCTGGCTGCTCCTTCCTCATCCTCTCTTTCAGCCCTTTCAATCTC